CACAGACAGAGAGGTTAGAGATTTTTTTTGTTCTAGCACTGGCCTCATGCGCACGCGCAACGTCGTCCTGCGTGTACGAATTTTAGGGAGATACGGTGTGTCAGGAGCGGCCGCATGATCATCATTGTGCATGCGGTGGGCCATGGGGGTTTGCATGGCTGACCGATCAAGCGGTGAGGCCGTGTATGATGGATAGTTAAAAAGGCCAAGGACGGATTCAGGTCTAGGAGGCAGCGGGGAGAAGGCAAGGGCATTATAACAATGGAGGAATCGGGCACAGTGCGATACGGCCATTTCAAGCTGGTCAAAAAGAAAAAGACGAAACCCTACAAAGTCAAGGGGCCCAAATTTGAGGATTTGAAATTTTGTTGTGCGTGTGGAGATGTCGGATTTGAAAATGAGATCAGTAACCTTGATTGCGTGGAAGTCTTGGTTAGCCGACAAACAGTGGTTTAGGGCTGATTCAATTAACATTTCATCTGGCCGAACACTAATAGGGAGGAAAGTAATCCAAAAGGGGTGTGAATGATGAGTGTAATGCACATGGGGTGGTGTCTGGTTAAAGCAAGTAGCATTAAGCATTCGGTAAAAAAAAGCTAGAACCAGGCTGTTTTCGCCTCACCTGAGGCAGATCGAGGGGCGAGGACGCTGATGGCAGTGAAGCAGAGATGACCGGCGCCGACGAGGGAGACGCGGATCCGAATTGTGGAGGCATGATGTCGCCAGGAAGCAAGCGACGGGCAGCACACATGCGCATGGGCCAGGGAAAGCGGAGCAGCATGCCCCGCTTTCGGAAGTCTCCCATGGAGGCTATCAGGTTGGCAACGCCTGGTGATGCGACGGTGAAGGAGAAGCATGAATCGCCTTCATCAGTGACGTTGAAGTGGAGGTAGCAACCTTCGAACAGGCGAGGGAAGAGGAGCGCCATGGACGTGGCGTTGAGGGTGAATGGGAATTGGACGACTCGCGCATACATGCGACAGCCGTGAGGATGGCGGCCGGGGTCGATGGTGATGTAGGATCGGAGCTGTGACCAGGCCACAGCTTCAAACTGGAGCCCCAGATCTTCAGGAATTTGGAGCAGGCGGGCAAGCGACATGCAGGAGGCCGCGGCCCGTGGTAGTGGTGGAGGGAGAGGCGGCAGAGCTCTGGTGAAGACGAAAACATAGTTGCGGTGGCAAACCTTGAACTGCTCGAGGATGATCTCAGCGATGCGTGGAGATGCAACGTGAAAGCGGAAAATGAGTGGTGAGCGCATAGCAACGAAGAAGTCGGCGGCACAGCCACCAAGAGCAGCCTGGAGTAGAGCAGCGACGACAATGGTGTCGAGCTGGCGGTTGGAGAAGTCGAAGACGACGTAGAGAGACGACGCGAGGTGGAGCTCAGGGGTGGTGATGTCGAGGCGAAAGTAGCGGCTGCAGTCGTCCTTGAACTCGAGCCCCATGGCGTTTCCGCAGCCAAGGAAGTATCGGAGAGCGACTTGACCGGCCCTGGCGTAGGGCAAGTCGAGGAAGATGGATGGAGGTGGCGCAACCGTGGGCATGAGTGCGTCGTTGGGGTGGATGGTGAGGGTGGCGGGTGGTGGAGGTGAAGGTGAAGGGGGGAGGAGGTGCTCGGCCACCGTGGTGGCCGCCGGAGCAGTCGGAGGTGGTGGAGAAGGGAGGGGAGGGAGCGAGAGCGGTCGAGCCATCGTTGCCCATGAAGATGGGAGTGATATCCCAATTTGTTTTAGCAAACTTCACGTTCCACTTAAGAAATGAGAAAAAAAAAAGGTTGAGCATGAAGTGAAGTGGCCAGCTCATGCACGCACATGCTCCCTCCCGGCCTGCCATAAGGCAGCAGCATGCCAGACGACGGAAAGAAGTTAAAATCTTACTGCAGTGTCTGCTGAAGAGAAGACGATGGAGCATGATCGCCATGATGGCAGCTCAGAGAATTGAGATCGTGCATGTGAGACGTGTGACCTTCCTTCTCCTCGTCGCCTCCCTCCCCTTTTACAGCTCACAAAGGCAGCGTCGACAAGAAGTAGTAAAATATTCGATCTCGTGCTCGGAAAGATGGCGTAGGTGACCCGGCGCGCGAAAGCGGAGGCCATGGCGATAGCGCTAGCGCAAACAAGCCGCGCGAATCTGGGCCTCCGCCTCAATCATGGCGCTGTAGTGGCCTCACCTTCTTGGAAGCTTTACCACAACCCTCACTACTTCTCACCTCGCGGCGACTCCTCCGGCCCCTCTCGCAGATCCCCTTCTCGCCCAGAGCACCGCAGACCTATGATCGTGGCGAATTTCGACGAAGACGACGGCGGCGGCGGCATGGAGCGGCAGCTGGGGTACGGCGACGGGGGCGCGACGTCGGTGCCGGAGCTCCTGGCGCGGGTCGAGGAGCTCGCGGCGGAGCTCGAGTTCGAGAGGCGCATGCGACGCAAGGTTGAGGCGCTCAACGAGGCGCTCGCCGCCGAGCTCGCCGAGGAGCGGCGCCGGGTCGAGGCGGAGCGCGCGAGGATGCGGGAGGAGCTCGACGAGGAGCGGCGGATGCTGCGCGTCGCGGAGCTGTGGCGGGAGGAGAGGGTGCGGATGAAGCTCGCCGACGCCCGGGCCGCCGTCGAGGAGAAGCTGCGGGAGGTCGCCGACGCCGGGCAGCGTGCTGCCGATGCCACCGCCGCTGCCGAAGGCTGCAGCTGCAGGAGCGGCAGCCCGATCGGCGGCAAGGCAAGCCCGGCCAGTGTTGGGCAGCAAAGCCCAGCGAGCAGTCGGCACGGCCAACAAAGCCCGGCGAGCGGTCAGCACTCCCAATCGCACCGGCGAGAAGTCACTGGCGGCGAGAACCCTCACATCAGGAGGGGGATCAAGGGGTCCGTGGAGTTCCCGAGGGCCGTCCGTGTGCGGCCGCGCGGCGAGGAGCGCGTGGATCTGGTGTCCAACATCGAGTGCCAACGGGCGCAGCTGCGCGTCCTCATGCGGCACCGGAGTCCCGCCACCGCCGGCATGCCGGGCCTCGTCGGCGCGGCGCCGGACAACCTCGTCGTGTAACAATGTACTCCTACTCACTGCTTAGTTACTCTAATCATATGTAACTTTCACCAGGATAATGAAAAAACAAGCAACTTGTGCGCTGCAGTCGTTTGCTTCAGAAGCTTTGAGGTGCTCTAGTCTCATCTTGCTTAACGTTTCTCCAATTGGCGGGGGCTTGGTTTTCCTTCGAGTGTTTGTGCCGCTGAAGCTGGTCTCAGTGGTGGAATGGAGCTCGGAGTGGCCATTTTGATTCAGCGGCATGACGCGTTGAGATTTTGGGACACACTTGTTTGGTTGGCGTCCGTCCGTCTGATGTCACCCGCAGGACTCCCAGTTCCTGCCATCTTTCCTGGAGTCCAGTGCTCGAGTGGACTAGGGATCAGTGTGAGGGTGCCTTGCTTAGTAGAGGGACAAATCACTGATTTAACCCTTTAGGGTAACTTTAGCACACAAAAAAACCTTTTTTTAAATAAAACGATTTGACCTCTTCTTGCAATGGCCCAGCCCTTCCGCGTTGCAGCACTAAGTGGTTGTTTGGATACCAAATACAATTTTGCTAGAACTCATCTAAATGAGATTTAATTTGATCTCATTCACCTTTTATAGCCATTGGATGTGATGCTATAAGATGCGTGTGTGCTGACGTGGGTTGTATCCGTTCTTATTTTTCAGATGAATGAGACCAAATTACGTCTCATCTAGATGAGTTCTAGGTACTCCCTACCAAATATAATCCACGAAGATAGGGAAAACCAGTTTTTAGCTGCGTTTTAGCAAAATCCGTTTTAGTAAGTAATTGGTGAACAACCGGTTTATAGAAATATATGTTTGGCCTTTTTGAACATAGTACAGAGGCAAGCAAAGTGTATAGCTGACTTAATTGGATACCTACTCGTCCGTGACCTTCTTCTTTCTCACACACATCTCGCAAATTGGCCATTGGAGACCTGCCAAGCTCCATCCTCAAGCCCTGATCGTTGTCACAGTCCCATGACACCGCTGCTCCACTAGGGTCGGTGCGCTAACACCGGCCCCTACTTTTTTGCTTGCCCTTGTACTTCCCTCGTTGACTCCCATTCAAACTCTGCTGCTAGGATCTGTGTTGGTTTCACAAACTGCTTTTGATAGAGGCGAAGGTGTCCCGATGTTTCGATGAGATGGTGGCTATCATTTTGGAGGAAGTCGACTTTGACAATCCGACTACGAATATGCGAAGACGTCGCGCCTTAGCAATCGCTAAACCAACTCCGAGAGGTTATTGACCATGCCGGAGCACGATCAACCTGACCACGAAGGTCTGTTTCCTGTAGGCAAACGAAGAACAAGCAAGAAACTAAGATTGCAATCTGGATATTGCGAATATAAGAGGAAAGCTTTATTGATCAAGGTGGGGTTCTGTGACGCCTTTGTCTGGTCGTTGAACACAAACGAAGTACGCGAAGTTGCAGCTATGGCGAACTTTAATCTAAACAAAACCCACCGTCTAAACGACGCCCTAACTCTTATTTCCCTTGGAGGAGGGGTCCGAAACCAACCGTAACTCTTATTTCCCCACACATACGGACTCTAAAAATAGCCTATACTTAAGTATTTCGAAAATACATGGGCCTGGCCCAATAATAAGGTGAAGCAGCACCTAGAATAGTCTCTAGACGAAATTTATGAAGTGGCATCTTGTATATTTCGTCCAAAGCTTCATGCACTCCTTATGGTGGCTTCAAAGTCCTGAAATCATCACTTGTAACTCCGTTCTTGATCCCCTTGTGCATGCCATCATCTCCATGCTTGGTCTTGCTCCAGTGTTCATCCCTCTTATCCATGACAGGCCCTTTATTTGTAAGCAAAACAAATGTATCCAATTTAGGCAACATCATATTCTCATGAACATTAGAATCATTATCAAGAAATGAAAGTACCTGATAATTTAATTGGCGTGTGCGAGCTCTAGTAATTGGTCCAATATGTATAGCAGCAGGGGCTGTGGGTGTAACAATGGTATTGATGTCCTCATCATCATCCCCTTCTTGAAATGAAGTCGTCCTCGACGGAAGCTCATCTTCCTCACCCAAATAAGGCTTCAAATCTGCAATGTTAAAAGTGGGACTAATCCTAAAATCTGCAGGCAGTTCAAGTTTATATGCATTATCATTTATTTTCTCTAACATCTTAAAAGGACCATCGGCACGTGGCATTAACTTTGATTTGCGCAAATTAGGAAATATATCCTTACGCAAATGTAACCAAACAAGATCTCCAGGTGCAAACACAACATGTTTTCTATCCTTATCTCCAGCAAGTTTATATTTAGCATTCATACGCTCAATGTTTTCCTTAGTTAACTCATGCATTTTTAAAATCAATTCAGCACGGTCTTTAGCATCAAAATTAACCTTCCCCGAAGATGGAAGAGGCAACAAATCAATAGGTGCACGAGGTCGGAAACCACACACAAATTCAAAAGGGCACATCTTAGTAGTAAAATGCAATTAGGGCTGGAATTCGAGCCGAGTCGAGCCAGCTCGGCTCGACTCGCTAGAGCTCGTTTCGTTAACGAGCTAGCTCGACTCGACTCGTTATTATTAACGAGCTCAAATCCAAGATTGGCTCGACTCGTATAACTTGCAAGCTGGCTCGTTTAGTTTGTTAAGCTCGTTAAAGATATGAATATAAAACCCTCAAATATTATAAAAATTAGTATATATATATATTACATATATATCACGAAACAATAGTAATTTCTTTGTAACGCATGAGTCTCCTAAGCGGTTGGGCCTTCAATGGCTAGGCCTTGTGTTGTGCGCTTGGGACATAGAGTGCTGAGTGGTTGATCTTTTTTTATATTGGAAGTGGCTGATCTTTTGTACCGAGCCTAACGAGTTACACGAGTACATGTTAGATTGGCTCGTTTAACTTGGTCTATAAACGATCTTAAATTAAAGCTCGGCTCGACTCGTTATTCTTCGAGTTCGAGTCGATTCGAGCCGAGTCATGAGCTACTCGTTTAGCTCACGAGTTTCGAGCTTTTTTCCAGACCTAAATGCAATGAACGATTATAAGAAAATTCAACATGAGGCAAGCATTCTTCCCACATTTTCATATTATTCTTCAAAACAACCCTAAGCATAGTAGATGACTACTTCACTTTGTCCATTAGTTTGGGGGTGACAAGTAGTACTAAAAAGCAGTTTAGTCCCCAACTTAGTCCGTAAATATCTCCAAAAGTGGCTAAGAAATTTAGTATCACAATCTGAAACAATAGTATTTGGCACATCATGCAAGCGAATAATTTCACGAAAGAACAAATCAGCAACATTAATAGCATCATCGTTTTTATGACATGGTATAAAGTGTGCCATTTTCGAGAACATATCCACGACAACAAATATGCTATCCCTCCCCTTCTTTGTTCGAGGTAAACCTAAAACAAAATCCATAGATATATCCTCCCAAGGAACACTAGGTACAGGCAAAGGCATATATAAACCATGAGGATTGAGTCGTGACTTAGCTTTTCGACATGTAGTGCAATGAGCAACAAAACGCTCAACATCCCGTCTCATCTTTGGCCAAAAGAAATGTGTAGCAAGGATATCCTCTGTCTTCTTGACGCCAAAGTGTCCCATTAATCCTCCTCCATGTGCCTCCTGCAACAACAAAAGATGAACGGAACTAGCTGGAATGCATAGCTTGTTAGCACGAAGCACAAATCCATCGTTAAGAACGAACTTGTTCCAAGTTCTCCCTTCCTTACAATTCTGCAATACATCTTTGAATTCAGCATCATGCACATATTGATCTTTGATGGTCTCCAAACCAAATATTTTAAGGTCAAGTTGTGAAAGCATAGTATAACGATGAGACAATGCATCAACAATAACATTTTCTTTACCCTTCTTGTGTTTAATGACATAAGGGAATGTCTCAATGAATTCAACCCATTTAGCATGTCTACGGTTCAGTTTTGCTTGACTTTTAATGTGTTTCAAAGATTCATGATCAGAATGTATAAAAAATTCCTTGGTCCATAAATAATGTTGCCATGTTTCTAAGGTCTGAACAAGAGCATATAATTCTTTATCATAAGTAGAATAGTTCAAACTAGGCCCACTCAATTTTTTAGAAAAGTATGCAACAGGTTTGCCATCTTATAATAACACACCTCCTAATCCCATTCCACTAGCATCACATTCAAGCTCAAAAGTCTTATTAAAATCAGGAAGTTGGAGTAAAGGAGCATGTGTCAACTTATCTTTCAATACCATGAAGGCTTCTTCCTGTGTGGTACCCCAAACAAAAGGCACATCCTTCTTTGTAAGCTCGTTGAGAGGTGCAACAATGGTGCTAAAATCTCTCACAAAACGCCTATAGAAACCAGCGAGGCCAAGGAAACTCCTCACTTACGTGACCGTTTTGGGCTGCGGCCAACTCTCAATAGCTTGAATCTTGGCTTTATCAACTTCAATTCCCTGTGGAGTAACAACATAGCCAAGAAAATATACTCGGTCGGTGCAAAAGGTGCACTTTGCAAGGTTACCAAACAAACGTGCATCACGTAGAGCAATAAAAACAACATGTAAATGTTCCAAATGTTCCTCCAAAGATTTACTATAAATTAGTATATCATCAAAATAGACTACCACAAATTGTCCAATGAAAGCACGTAAAACTTCGTTCATTAACCTCATGAAAGTACTAGGTGCATTAGTTAACCCAAAAGACATGACTAACCACTCATATAATCCAAACTTAGTTTTAAATGCCGTTTTCCATTCATCTCCCAATTTCATACGAATTTGATGGTATCCACTACGCAAATCAACTTTGGAGAATATTGTAGAGCCACTCAATTCATCAAGCATGTCGTCTAGCCTAGGAATAGGATGACGATAACGAATAGTAATATTATTAATGCCTCTACAATCAACACACATACGCGACGTACCATCATTTTTCGGCACTAAAATGATAGGAACAACACAAGGACTAAGGGATTCGCGTATATAACCTTTGTCGAGCAG